TGCTTGCCACGTACGGCTGGGGCCAGGCCTGGAGTAGGACAGCCCGAGGGGGACGCGTGGGGGGCGACCCACCTGGGCCTTGTGGACAGGACCTCTGCATGAGGGGCCAGCGGGCAAGGTGGGTGGGGTCCATTTGGCCTCCCGGAGGCTCTCTCTCCGCGGACGTCAAGGAGAGACAGCCCCTGTGGCAGCCAGGATGGGTGGAGGGGCCCGGCCTGGGACAACCCTCGGGGGTGGGAACAAGCCCTGTTGCTGCAGTTTGGCACACGTCAGCAGCACACGTGTGTGCAGTGGACAAGTGTGACCTGTCAGAAGTTTGACAGATAGGATGGGGTGAACTGGGAACAGCAGATGGCCAATGGCACGGGGCCCTGGGGCAGCCGGTAAGGGCCCCAGGGTGTGGGTTGCCAGGTGCCTAACAGCTCTGGGCCTCACAGGCACCCTCCGGACACAGACAGCACCCTCATCAGAGCTGCCTCGAGGTCAGTTACACAGGTGGACTGAAGCCCCCCTGCCCAGCAACCCTCTCCTGGCACCTGCCGGCTGACACAGCAGTAATGGGGTCCTGCCAGCAGAGGGAGGCAGAGTACCATCTCCTGGTCACCGGGGTGGGCGCCGAGGAGCCGGGGCCTGGTCAGCCAGGGTGGGCGCCAAGGAGCCGGGGCCTGGTCAGCCTGGGTGGGCGCCGAGGAGCCAGGGCCTGGTCAGCCGGGGTGGGCGCCGAGGAGCCGGGGCCTGGTCAGCCGGGGTGGGCGCCGAGGAGCCGGGGAGGCTGAGCGCCTGGAACACAGGTCACCCCAGCCCGCAGCACCTGCTCTCCAGTCCCCCAGCTCCAGCTCTGGACTCCCTGTGGGGGCTCTGCACTTGCTCTGGCTCAGCCCATGTGGTCACCCTGCTGCCGGCAGGGCACCTGGCCAGAGAGCACCGCACTGCAGGTAGAGATGGGAGCTATGAAGAAGCGACACCCCTGGGGTTGAGGCATAGTGAATGCCAGGCCAGGCCCCGGCTGCTCCACTTCCCATGCAGCTCCCTGCTGATGCCCCTGGGAAAGCAGTGGAGGACGCCCAATGCTTGAGTCCCTGCACGCACGTGGGACTCCCAGCTTTGGACCGGCCCAGCCCCAGATGTTACGGTCATTTGGGCAATGAAGAGGATTGAAGATTTCTCTCTCTCACTCTGCCTTCCAGATGAGTCAATAAATCTTTAAAACGAGACAGCCCTGATGGTGCAGCTGCCCGCTCTGGCGGGGCTACTCCTGTCCATAAGTGACAGAGCAGAGGCAGAACATGCAGGCACCGTCCCCCCATGGCGGGCAGGCAGCACCTTGCACCCCGGGTCCCTGTGCATGGTGCTGAGGCACCTGCAGTTACAGCCTGTGTCCCCCCCGTGGCAGGAGCAGTGTCCACGGCAGAGGCTGCACCTGGGCACCAGGGACACCAGTGAATGACAGTGACGGCCACAGTGGGAGTCCTGGCCACAGGTCAGGCCACACCCACCAGTGGGGGACTCTGAGCGGCTTCCGCCCACCAGTGGGGGCCCCTGAGCCACGTCCGTCCATCCGGTGGGGGCCCTGAGCCGCGTCCGTCCATCGGGTGGGGGACCTGAGCAGTGTCCATCCATCCAGCAGGGACCTGAGCGGCGTCCGTCCATGCAGCGGGGGCCTCCCGAGCGTTGTTGTCTGCCTGGCAGGGCCTCAAGCAGTGTCCGTCCACACAAGGCATTCAGACCTCCCATCAGAACTGTGGGAACAAGTGGGGCCACTTGGGCCATCATGAAAGACTTTTCAAGGACCTGGCGCGGTGGCCTAGCGGCTAAAATCCTCATCTTGAACGCGCTAGGATCCCATATGGGCGCCGGTTCTAATCCCAGCAGCCCTACTTCCCATCCAGCTCCCTGCCTGTGGCCTGGGAAAGCAGTTGAGGACGGCCCACAGCCTTGGGACCTGCACCCATGTGGGAGACTCAACAGAAGCTGCTGTCTCCTGGCTTCAGATCAGCTCAGCTCCAGCCGTTACAGCCACTTGGGGAGTGAACCATTGGATGGAAGATCTTCCTCTCTGTCTCTCCTCCTATTTGTATATCTGACTTTGCAATTAAATCTTTTAAAAAGAAATACTTTTAAAAACAGTTTTTAAACAGATTATATATATATATTTTGAAAAGCAGTCTTGCAGACAAGGAAAGACAGATCTTCCATCTGCTGGTTCACTCCTCACGTGGCCACCATGACCAGAGCTGAGCTGATCTGAAGCCAGGAGCCAGCAGCTTCATCCGGGTCTCCCTGGTAGGTGCAGGGTCCTAGGCACTTGGATTCTTTCCCAGGGTATGAGCAGGGAGCTGCATGGGAAGCAGAGGGGTGCCAGCACAGCCTGCAGGATGCAGCATTCCACAGGGGGGGTCTGTCCTGGCCCCCGGGGGTCCCCCTGACTTCACGGCCGGTGCCAGGGGAGGGGGCAGTGACACGAGGTGCGCTGACTTGGCTGTGGCTGCTCTGGCTCAGACCCGGGCGGGGGTCCTGTGTCCCAAGCATCAAGAGTAAGGACGTGCTGCCAGCTCCGAGTTGGCAGACACGCAAGCAGGAAGGCCCCGTGTGACCTGGGGTGGCTGCAGCCCTGGGCTTAAATGGCAGGAACGGGCTGGCCTCTAGGACACTGCCCGCCTAAGGCCTTGGTATCAAAGGGCGCCTGTCCTGGGAGGCCCCTTTTCCTGGCCTGGCACTCACCGTCCTCCCCTCATGGCAAAGCTCCATGCACCCCGTGTGCGAGTCCTCCTTGCACGCCCCGGGTGGGAGTCCTCCCCTCATTCAAAGCTCCACGCACCCCGGGTGGGAGTCCTCCCACACAGCGAGGCCCCGCAAGCCCTGGGTGGGAGTCTGTTTTCCTTAATGACCCAGTGGAAGTCCCAGGCCAGTCCTGTGCAGGGCTGAGTCTGGGTCCTGCGGAAGGCCACAGCTGCAGCGTGCAGGGGGAGTGCCGGCGGGGCCGGGGTGGGGAATGCCCTGCAGCGAGGGGCCTCACGTCTCCCCTGAGGATGCTGTCCAGGCCTGGAGGACCACAGCCAACAGCCCAGCTGGGGACGGGGAGGGGAGCAACCGCGGCCAGGGACCTGCTGGTCATGCCCCACAGCCACGGGGCCTGCGTGGGCCAGGCCGAGCGGGGAACCCTGAACTCCGTCCAGAAGCTCCTGCTGGGGGCAGGGACGCAGCTGACCAGCTTCTGGAACTGTCTCTACTCCTCCACCCCCTCGCGGACACAGCCCTGATCAGTTAACTGCCTCAAATGAACCATCTTTTTTAAGAAATATGACTTGTTTATTTGAGAGGCAATGACAAACGGCCGCGGCAACGGCAACCGCGCCAGGCTGAAGCCAGGAGCCTGCAGCCCCACCCAGCTCCCCACGGGCGTGAAGGAATCCGTCCTCCACTGCCCTCCCGGGCCCCAAGCAGGGAGCTGGACGGGATGTGGAGCAGCCAGTGCTGACGCTGGCCACCCATGTCATAGGTGGTGGCTTGACAGGCCCCCCAGTCAGCCATCTTGCACGCACCCAGTGGCTTGAGTGCCATGGCACCGGGCAATGTGCATCTACGGTACAGTTCCAGAACACACCCCCCCCGTCCTGTCCACAGCAGGGCCCCTCCCCCTTTGCAGCCGCTGCCCACTGCTGGCCCAGCCCTGGGGCCCGCCACTGTGGCAGCTGCCCTGATGGAGAAGGGCTTCCGGGACCCAGGCACGCCCTGGGGGTGTCGTCTTCCTTGGCTCGGCTGGCTTGTGGGGTCAGACCTGCCCAGCAAACAGACCCTACAGGACTCACAGCTGCACAGGCGCTACCGAGGGCCTCCGAGTCCCAAGCCCTGCTCGGACACTCGGTGCCGGACAGCGGGCAGGTAGGCACAAGACCCAAGTGTCGGGGCGGCGCTGTGGTGCAGCAGGCTAAACTGCCACCTGTAACACTACCATCCCATATGGACGCTGGTTCGAGTCCCAGCTGCCCCACTTCCCATCCAGCTCCCCTTTAACACACCCAGTGCTGGACCCCGCACTCACTGGGAGACCCATGTGGAGTTTCTGGTTTCAGCCTGGCCCTGGTCATTGTGCCCGTCTGGATAGTGAACCTGCAAAGGGAGGCCTCTCTCCTCTAACTCTTGTCTTTCCAACAAGTGGATCTGATAAATGGCCAGGAGTCCCTGGGGGCACAGTAGGGGACCTGTCACTCAAGCCTGCAGGCCTCTGGCCTCGTACGGGGTGGGGGTGGGACCAGCTGCTTCCCGGCTCAGATTCCAAAGCTGGTCCCATCCAGAAGGGCCCCAGTGGCACTCAATGTTTGCCAAATGGCCCAGCCAAGACAGGCAAGGCAGGCTGGGGCCCTGCCGACCCGCCCAGCAGCTGCTGGACAAATGGCTTTCACTGCCTGACCCAGGAGTAGGCCTTAAGGCAGCCGGGATTCCTGGGCCCCAGTCCAGCCAGGCCACTGTCGCGATGCCAGGGAGGACCACCCTCACCCGTTCTGGGCCAGGGCAGGCTGGAGATATGGCTCTTCAAAGGGGGACACCCCAGGCGCTCTGGTCATCTGTGGAAACCCCAACCTGGCCCGGGGGCCGGAGCTGGCCGGGGACTGCTCTTCGCCGGCTGCGCTGGGCTTCCACAGAAGCTTCCGGACTATGCCATGCCACATGCTTCCTCAGCCCTCCCTCTGCGACCACCTTCCAGGGCTCACTACATTCGGGGGCCCTCTGGGGAGGAGCCCCTTGCCCCTTGCCGAGAGGGCTGGGAGAACCCCGAGTGCAGGACCCCCCCAGATGCAACAGTCCCCTGGTCAGCAGAGCTACACTGCGCTGCTGAAGTGGACACAACTCTGGGTTCCTGTGGGGCGGCCACTCCACCATTCTCCTGCCAGAGACCCCAAGGGCCAAGGCTGCTCAGCTGCCTCACAGCACGACGCCCTCCCCTCCCCCCCAGCCCCTCGAGAAGGGAGCCAAGGCCAGCGCCAAGGTGAGCACAGCTGCCCGATCCTCAGTATCGTTTTTATTGCAAATCAGTTAACAAAAAGATGGAAAAAATACATCATCTTCAGCATCTACAGTTTTGCATGTAGACCACTTAAAAAAAAAAAGCTTCCTTTGTCTGTAAACTACACTCTATTTTATAAAACAGCGACAGTGCCCTGGACCACGCCCCCAGGGACAGCACCGCGGTGCCCTCACAGTGGCCGCCGGGGCCGCACGCGGGGAGGACCGCACGCGGGGAGGACCGCACGCGGGGAGGACCGCGTCACTCAGATTTCTTAAACAAAATCCACCTTGAACATCTACTGACACTTGCTCTGCCACAAGCCGATACTGGACACGTCTCCCACGCCCTCCCAGGCCAGCCCACCACGGGGCTGCCCGGGGCCCTGGCCGGCGGTGTGCCCGAGCTGTCCCCGGGCACCAACAGCCACGGCCTCAGCTAGCAAGGAGCGGGCAGGTGAGCCCAGATCACCGGGGCCCAGCGCCATCCTGGGCTCAGAGTAACAACTCCCCACGGGGGTCCTGGCACGCCCCACAGTCCACTTCCGCCCTCCACGTGTCTGAGGACGGCTGCGGCTGGCCCTCGGGCCACTCAACACACACCTGGTGCAGAGGCAGGCAGGGCGGGGTGGGCGGCCCTCGCACGCGTGGGCCGGGCTCCAGCGTCTCCCCAACGTTCCTTTTAGGATTTTGACAATTACAAAAAAAAAAAAAAAAAAAAGAAAGAAAAAACAGAGCTCAATAAATAAGTGGCATTTACGGATGGCGAGTGTGTCCGGTCCCCCAAGGGGGAAGCGCAGCTCTGACTGCCGCCTGCTCCCTTCCACCAGGGAGCAGTTTTTGCTTGGAGCTGCAGGAGACAGAACATAAACAGGCAATGTTCCTGTGTAAAGTAAGAGTGCATAAATAAATACTAAAAAAAAAAGTTGAAATCCCCGTCCTCAGATTTTGTATTACAAAATTGCTTTTGTTCCAAAAAGAAGACTCCTTTGGTCGGCCCCGGGCCACGCCCGGCGAGCCCGCTGGTGCGTCCGCTGGGGCACGCACGGCCGTCACTTGAAGGCGTCAGGGATGTGGGCGAGCGGGGGCTGCATGCTGGTGGGCGGGCTGGACACGCCCTCGGACCAGTCGGAGATGTTGGAGTGCGGCGAGGAGCTGGACCACTGGTCAGGGGACTCGGGGGACGGTGTGAGGAACGGGTGCTCGGGCACCTGCAGCTGGTGGCTGGGCGTGTTGTCCACGGGCGACGAGGAGCAACTGTGCTGGGAGGGCGGCGTGAGGAACTGTGCCGTGGTCATGGGCGGGGCCAGCGAGGACGGGAGCGAGGTGGGCAGCGCCTGGCCCTCCGGGGACAGAATGGTATGCACCGGCAGGCTGCTGGGGCCCAGTGGCTGAGCGTCCGCCTGGCTCTGCTCGCTGCCCAGGAAGCTCCGGCCCAGGTGGCTGGAGGCCGCTGAGCCCACGCCGAGGTGCGCCTGCGGTGCCGTCTGCAGGCCCTGTGGCGGCTGCAGCTGTAAGTTCTGCGGTGCAACCTGCTGTGTTGGCACCAGGGGAGGCTGGGCAGCCAGCCGCGCGGAGGGCAGGGCCTGGTAGCTCACCATCTGGGACAGGGTGTTGGCAGACACACCGCTGTGCAACGGGCCCATCATGCCGTGCTGCAGGGTCGGCGCCTGCGTGCTCAAGCCCCCGGCGGCCGTGCTGCCATGCAGAGGGCTGTACTGGTTCGGTACCATGCCGTTCTGCAGCCGGGAGAGCCACTCGCACTGGCCGTTCAGGCCGGCCGCCCCACCCACCGCGAAATTCACGGCCCCTCCCACGCCGCTGGCACCCAGCACCGTGCCACTGCCGGAGGCCACCGGCAGGTGGGACAGGCGCGGAGGGCCGGGCTCGAAGGGCAGCCGGCCACCGCCGCCACCCAGCGCCGCCATCTCTGGCTTGGTGGCCACGCTCAGGTGGCTAAGGCCCAGGTGGGTGTCAGGCATGCCGGGCAGGTGGCTGAGAGGCACGGATGGGGACTGCCGGAATGGTGAGGGCAGCAGAGGCGGTGAGGCCACGTCGGACAGGTAGCCGTGGGGTGACTCCAGGGAGTCCACGGGCGACAGCATGCTGGAGGTGTCCAGCAGGCAGCCCTTGCCGTCCTGCGACTTCTTCCGCCGTGCCTTGAGGTCCTTGGGGTCTTTGCCGCTGCAGGCCAAGCCTTTGCTGCTGGGTTTACGGGCCTTCTTGCCCGGCACGGCCGGCTTGAGGTTGCCCAGGTAGCCGCCAGGCGAGCAGAGCGGGGGAGACAGGGTGGGCGTGCCGCCCAGGGCAGGGCCATGCAGCGGGGGGCTTCGCATCAGGTTGTACTCGTCCAGCAGCCGCACGATGTCATGGTGCATGCGTTCCTGGGCGATGTCACGCGGCAGGCGGTCCATGTGGTCCGTGATGTCCCGGTTGGCGAAGTGGTCCAGGAGCACCTTGGCCGTCTCGTAGCTGCCCTCGCGGGCGGCCAGGAACAGGGGCGTCTCCTCCTGGGGGTGCAGGCATGGGCAGGGGTGAGGAGTGCGAAGGCCCAGCTGGATGCTACCCTGACACCTTAAGCCTTTCCCCCTGGGGCCTGTGGTTAACCGGAACTCCACCCCCAGCTAGATCCAAAGTCGCCAGGATACGGCACAACTCCGGCCAGTCTCAGGGCCACCAGGTGGCCCTGGCGATTCAGCCCTGGGTCTCGCCCATCGCTCGGTGGACCAGCCGCTGTGTGGATGCACGAGGCTCTGTGGCCATCAGGGAGCGTCAGGAGGGTCTCCCCATAGGGACAGGGCCTCCCTCGGTCTGCCATGGACCGGGAGCAGGTGGAGCAGCACAGAAGACCAGCACAGACAGAAGGGGCCGGCTCGGCCCGGCAGACGGCCCCCCGCCTGGTGGGGCGGAGGTGGCAGGTGGGCAGTGAGAGAGGGACCACTCACACTTGGGGACCCCCAGTACCCTGAGTCCTCAGCCTTCCGGCTACTGCCAGCCGCAGGCAGGGCCACACAGCTGACCGGCCGCCCCGCGCCCAGCTAGCGCCCGGGCACCTTGTGGTTCTGCATGTCCTTGTTGGCGCCGTTCTTGAGCAGGACGATGGCGGCGTCCACATTGTTCACAGCAGCTGCCCAGTGTAGCGCCGACTTGCCTGGAGCGGTGACAGAGGGCGGGTTGTGCGGCAGCCCTGGCCTGGCTTCCCTGCTTCCACCCAGGCCCCGGCGGGACGGGTGCCACGCTTACCCAGGTCGTCCACGGCGTTGACGTCGGCGTGTGAGTTGATGAGGTCCTCCAGCATGCCTTCCACGGCCAGGCGGGCGGCCAGGATCAGCGGCGTGGTGCCGTCATGCATGCGTGCGTCCAGGTCTGTGGCTCGGTTACGGATCAGGATCTAGGCGGGCGGGGAGGAGTCAGGCCGGGGTCGGCTATAGACCACGCCCCTCCTGAGATCCGCACGGCTACAGGAAGGGAGCCCTTGGCGATGCGGCTGCATCAGGACCACATGTGGCCCTGCTGTACCCCAGCTCATGGTGCCACGGCAGAGTGGGCAAGCTCCAGGTGTCCTGAGGGTCAGACGGTGGCCCTCTGCCAGGAGGTGGTCGGTGCAAGCCGAGTGAGTCACGCCACCGGCTGCTGCCACCCGCGCCCTGGAGCCACCCAACCACCCAGAGAGCTCCTCCTGTGCAATCCCCCTGGCTGGCCGCGGGCCTTGTCTGTTCCTGGAATGCCAGCTCGTCATGCTACACATGGCAGGCTTTGTGCAGGAGCACCCTGGCTTCTGATCCTGCTGCCCCCGCTCCGGGGCTGCAGGCTTCCCAACCGGCTGCTGGCAGCATACAAAGCCCGTGCGTGCAAGGATGTGTACCTGAGACCCAGGCCTCCAAATCCCCACTCAATCCCCCTTCCCAGGGGCTCCCCGGCGAGGCTGTTGCAGGGCCACGGGGCCAAATCTGGCGCAGACGCTGCCTTCTGGCAGCCACAGGCCGTACTGCCGGCAGGACCCTCCAGGGGCTGCAGCAGGGCCACGGAGGAGCCCAGAGCCTGCCTTGGGTGGGGCCCTGTGAGAGCCCCTTCCAGCCAGCCTGGCCAAGAGGACAACGGAGAGGGCTGGGAGCCTTCCCTGGAACCTCTCTCGGAGGACAAAGCAGGAGGCAGCTGGCCCCAGCCGAGCCAGAGCCACGGAAGGCAGCACCCACCTGGAAGACGCCCTGAGCGTCCGCAGACACGGCCGCGTGCAGCGGGGTGCGCCCGGTGTTGTCCTGGATGTTGGCGTCGGCGCTGGCCTCCAGCAGGCGCTTGGCGGCGTCGGAGCGCGAGTAGCGGGCGGCCAGGTGCAGCGCCGTCTCACCGGTGCGGTCAGTCTGGTTGTGCAGGCTGGCGCCCTGGTAGATGAAGTCCGAGATGACGGCAGGTGCGTCTTCCTCGTCCTCACTGTTGCCCGTCTCCAGGCCGCCTCCGCTGCAGGAGGCGATCATGAGCGGGGTGAAGCCATCTGCAGCAAGGACAGACGGGCAGCTCAGAGTTGGCGGCCCGGATGGGCAGCAAGGACAGACAGGCAGCTCAGAGCGGGCGGCCCGGCCGGGCACCAGGCAGCAAGGACAGACAGGCAGCTCAGAGCGGGCGGCCTGGCCAGGCACCGGGCAGCAAGGACAGACGGGCAGCTCGGAGCGGGCGGCCCAGACGGGCACTGGGCAGCAAGGACAGATGGGCAGCTCAGAGCGGGCGGCCCGGCCAGGCACAGGGCAGCAAGGACAGACGGGCAGCTTGGAGTGGGCAGCCCGGACGGGCAGCTCAGAGTGGGTGGCCCGGACGGGCTCTGGGCAGCAAGGACAGAGGGGAGCTCAGAGCGGGCGGCCCAGACGGGCAGCTCAGAGCGGGCGGCCCGGCCAGGCACCGGGCAGCAAGGACAGACGGGGCAGTTTGCAGCGGGAGGCCCGGCCAGGCTCCGGAAGCAGGCGGGCCAGTCCTGGGAGACAGGAGTGGCTGTGTGGATCCCACGTCCCACGCATATGCACACACACGCCTCGCTCCAAAGCCCGCACGTCAGAGCTACCAACTCCACGTGGGCAACAGAGACACTGCTGGCTCCTTCCCAGCTTGCCCCGGGCCCCAGGCTCGGCTGGAACACAGCAGCTTGGTGTCTCCCAAGGCAGCCTGGGCATGCAGGGGCGGAGGAACTCAGCAACCTGACTGCGGAACGGCACTGGACGGGCCGGGCAGGTCCAGGTGCCGGCTGCTCTTACCAGGCCCACGCACGTTCACGTCCATGCAGTCGGCGTCCACCTCGCCCTGGGGCGGCGTGGGGGCCATGGCCGACACACGCAGGTCGGCAGCGTCCAGGTGCTGCTGCGTCCACTGCCGGTGGTCCGTCTGGTCATCCAGCTCGGGGACAACCACGGGCTCCTCGAACTGCAGGAGAGGCAGAAGGGCAGGAGCCCGTCAGGCGGGGCTCTCGGTGAGACGCCCCCCCGGGGCAGGCCGGCTGCCACGGGACTCACCCGGAACTTCTTGGTCTCCAGGTCCTCGTCGCCCCACTCGTTCTGGTTGTCGTCCATGAGGGCCCCGTCCGAGGCATTCTTCAGGGGCCTGCGGGCAAGGACGCGGGACTGAGCTGGGCGCCGACCCCCAGGCAGCCCCTCCGCAGCCGGAAGCCTCAGGGGGCCCGGCCGGCCGTGGGGTTCTGCCACCATCCCCGCCACCAGGGCCGCCGCCCCTCCCCGACTCACTTGAGGCCCACCGAGTCCTCGCCCAGGGGCTCGCGCCGCTTCTTGCTGGCCTCCGACACCTTGAAGCCCTCGGGGAACCAGAGCTGGCCATGCTGCCGCCGGCGCTTGCGTGACAGGAGCACCCCGCAGCCGAGGAAGAAAAGCAGCAGGAAGGCGGCGGCGGCCACGTACATGAGGTGCGGCTGCGAGGGTGGCGGCGGCTCCACCGTCTTACCTGCAGGCAGGCGCGGGGCGGCGGCCAGGCGCCCGCCGTGAGCCGACTGGCGGTGTTGCGCCCGCCCCGCGCCTCCAGCCCGCCCCCCGAAAGGAGGTCATTTTGCAGGCGCTTCATCAGAATTGCAAACTATCGCTAAATTCTCTCCTGCACCAGCCGCCTGGGTCTCCAGCCGGCTCACTTTCTTCCCCTTTAAGGGAGAAGGATTAGCCGACTTCAAATCTCGGCTCGGGCATCGAACTGCTAAGACAAAGGATTTAGGGGGATTTTCCAGATACAAACTTCAACACTTCACATGACACCGATCGATGCGTCCCTCGCCCGCTTATTTATTTATTTAAAACAGAGAGAGGGAAAAAAACAGGCCCTAATGATTCTGAACCAACACCCGCCCAGCGGGACGGGCCCGGGGAGCTCGGCGCGCCCGCGTCCGGGCAGGGGTGCCACTCACTCTGCACGGCCTCAATCTTGTAGGGGATGCTGAGGCTGCCCAGCGAGGCCAGCGCCCCCAGGAAGGCGGCCACGTCGGTGGCGCTCTGGAAGCACTGCACGGACGACTGCACGCACTGTCGGTTGTCAATCTCCAGGTACACGATGGACCTGCAGACACGCCAGTCAGCACGCTCGGCCTCCCACGGGGCCAGGACAGGGCCGCCGCGCGGCCTCGGGAGTCCCGACGTGGGCGCCCCGCTCACCCGCGCACGTCCATGGGGTCCAGCTCCCTGCGCCGGCGCTCGGCCCCGCTCCCGGGCAGCACGCGGCCCAGCAGGCTCCCGGGCGCGGCCCAGCCCTCGGCCCCGACGGCTCGCTTGACCAGGTGCTTGCGCAGCTCCTCCTCGCGGCCATAGTAGGGGAAGATCATCCGCTGGCCCTGGGCGTCGCGCTTGAACACCACGTTGGTGTGCAGCAGGCGGCTGAGCTCCCGCAGGAAGTGGAAGGAGCTGTTCCGGAGCTGCTCGGGCGGCAGGAGGACCACCACCACGAGCGTGCCGGCCGCCAGGCGCTCGGGCACGTGCTCCGCGCAGTCCAGCCCGTCCCACTCACACTCGGCACTGTTGCAGCCCTGGTCGCAGTGTCCGTCGCTGAAGTGGTCCTGGCAGTACTGCTCGTACAGGGGGCTGTGGGAGGCAGGCGGGGCGGGGCTCAGGACACCTGCTGCGCCCCGCCCACCCGCCGGCCACGCCCGCCCACACCGGCCCCGCCCACCCGCCGGCCCCGCCCACCCGGCCTTACTTGCAGTGGCCCTCCGCGCCCTGGCAGTCAAAGCCGTCGAAGAGACAGCCAGGGGTGTTGCACTGGGCATCGCAGCGGCCATCGCTGAAGTACTTCCAGCACTGCAGAGACTGCGTGCAGTTCTTCCACGGGTCGTTGAAGTTGAGCGAGCAGTCGCCGCCGTCCCAGCCGCACGCATGGTTGTTGCACGGCAGGCTGCACACCTTGTTGCCCGCGTCCTCCCGGCACTCGGGCAGCTCGCACGCCTCCTCGATGACCGGCGGCGGTATGTCGCGGCCCGCCCCGCCACCAAAGCTGTAGTCCAGGATGTGACAGAGCAGCCCGTTGAACTTGGGAGGGCACAGGCAGCGGAAGAAGGGGCTCTCGGCGGTGGGCTCGCAGCTGCCCTGGTTGTAGCAGGGGTTGTTGCCCACGCAGGGGCTGCTGGCCGGGAACTGGCACTGGGGGCCGGTGAAGGAGGCCAGGCACAGGCAGGTGGGGCTGCGCGGGCCCGAGACGCAGGTGCCACCATGCAGGCAGCGCAGGCTACCGCAGGAACGCGCGTCATTCTCACACGTGGCGCCCTCAAAGCCCTGTGGGGAGGGTGCATAAGGGGTTCAATTCCCGGCTCCAGCAGACCCCCGACCCCGGGGAGGCTGTATGACCTGAAAAGCCAGCATGCACCTGCCCAAGGCCCCTCCAGGCCCCGCCCACCGCCGACCCCGCCCCAGGCCCCGCCCGCCCCAGGCCCCGCCCACCACAGATCCCGCCCCAGGCACCGCCCACCACAGACCCCGCCACAGGCCCCGCCCACCGCTTCCCAGGCGCCGCCCACCACAGACCCCGCCCCAGGCCCCGCCTACCGCTGGGCACTTGCAGATGAAGCCGCGGGCAGTGTTGGCTGCTACGGCGCAGGTGCCCCCATTCTTGCAGGGCCGGCCCCTGCAGCCATTGATGACGGACTCACAGCGGCGCCCTGTGGGACGGCACGGCACAGGATGCGGAGGTGAGGGGCCGCCCCGTCGAGCAGCCCCGCCCCGCCCCGCCCGCAGCACCCACCAGTGTGGCCGGCGCGGCACTCGCAATGAAAGCCGTTGACGCGCTGCACGCAGTCCTGAGTGCCATGGGGGTCGCAGGGATTGGACAGGCACTCATTCACGTCGCCCTCGCACCGCTCGCCCACGAAGCCCGGTGGGCAGCTGCAGCTGTACCCGCCCACCTGGTCCACACAGGTGCCGTTGTTGAAGCACCTGGGGTTCCGCGTGGCGGGGTCCACGGGTGGACTGCAATCATCCACGTTGATCTCGCAGTGCACACCTGGGGGCCCAGACAGGCTCAGGGCCGTGGTGCCGCGCCCCGGCCAGCCCTCGCCCACGCATCCCGTGCAGCCAAGGCCTTGGTGGAGGCCCTGGCTTCCCAGCAGCAGCCCTGGGCCCATGAGGCACAGAGGACGTGCGGGCATCCCAGGCGGGCACTCACCCTGCGTGCCCCGGGGGCAGGAGCACTTGTAACTGTTGGTGAGGTCGATGCAGGTGCCACCGTTCTGGCACGGCAGCGAAAGGCACTCGTTGACCTCCTCGGAGCAGTTGGCCCCATGGTACCCAGGCACACACTGCAGGGGGCAGAGCAGGGGGCAGAGCTCAGCAGCCACTCTCCGGCAGGTGGTCTGCCCGCCCCAGGACGCAGCACACCTTGCAGGAGTACCCGCCCAGGTGCCCGCCCACCCCAGGACACAGCGCACCTTGCAGGAGTACCCGCCCAGGTAGTCGGTGCAGGTGGCCCCGTTCTGGCAGGGGCTGGGCGAGCACTCGTCCACCTCGTCCTCACAGTAGCTGCCCGTGTAGCCGGCCGGGCAGCGACAATAGTGCGTGTTGTCTGCGTCCACACACAGGCCCCCGTGCTGGCACAGCTGGGCAACGTCCATGCCTGTGGGGGGCACGGAGTGCGTGAATCTGGCCCGTGGGGTGGGAAGGGGAGTCTGGGCTGGTCCGGGCGCGGGAGAGCGGGGACTACCTCGCTTGCGGGCAGCCACCTCACAGGAGACGCTGGGCACGTCGCAATGGAGGCCGGTCCAGCCGCTGAGGCACTCGCAGTGGTAGCGGGTGCTGCTCTGCCAGCAGTGGCCTCCGTTCTTGCAGGGCAATGAGTCACACCAGCGCACGAGGTTCTGCGGGTGGCAAGCGGGTCAGTGTGCCCGCAGGGAGGCCCCTCTGGGGCAACAGACCCCCGCCCAAGGAGCAGCCTGGGGGTGTCTGCACAGCAGCCCGGCGCAGCCCGCTTCCCCGCGAGGCCCGCCTGGATGTTTACAGCTGTTGTCATACACGCAGACGGGCGGCCATGTCCTCCTGGCCACCCTCCCGCGAGGAGCCACCCTCCGTCCCGGGGCCGGGGAGTGGGCCTCGGCCTGGCGGGCAGCCGTGCCCCCGCCTGGCGCTCACCTGGCAGTTGGGGCCGGTGTAGCCCTGGGGACAGGTGCACTTGTAGGTGCCATAGCTGTCCTGGCAGGTGCCGCCGTGCAGGCAGGGTCGTGAGTCACACTCGTTAATGTTGTACTGGCAGTAGCTGCCCGTGAGGCCGGCCGGGCACAGGCAGGTGAAGGAGTCGATGCCATCCACACACGTGCCGCCGTTGAAGCAGGAGCTGGGGGGGGCAGGCCACCGTGAGCAGGGTCGGGGGCGTGCGAGGCGTGCAGAGGGTCCTCCAGGCCAGGCCTGGCCTCGGCTGCTCACGTCCCGCACCCATCCCTTCGCCTCCAACAGGGGCTGGTGACACGAAGGGCTTCGCCACATACCCGGTGATGCGGGGTTTGGCCAAAAACGCAGGAAGACAGAGCCTGCTCAGGCCGTGTGAGTGACCGTGCACGGACCTTAGCAGCCTGCCAGTGAGGGACACAGGACAGGGACAAGTTCCTGCCAGCTGGGGGAGACACCTGCTCACTTTGGGAACTTGAAAAAGTACATTTCCTTGGGGATCTCTGCCATAGTGGGTCATGTTGAGCCATTGTCTGTTAGCCATCTCATATGGGCACCAGTTCGAGTCCCGGCTGCACTTCCCACCCAGCTCCCTGCTTGTGGCCTGGGAAAGCAGCAGAGGACGGCCCACGTACTGGGGTCCCTACACCCACGTGGGAAACCCAGAAAAAGCTCCTGGCTCCTGGCTTTGAACTGAACTAGCCCTGGCCACTGGGGCCATTTGACAAGTAGAACCAGCGGACAGATCTGTCTCTCCTCTCTGTAAATTTGTCTTTCCAATAACAACATCAAATCTTAAATGGAGACAGTCTCTAGATTTGTAGTTATTTACTTTCACTTGCAGCACGGAGCAAGTGAGAAGCAGCGGACAAATGGAGAGAGCTCTGTTACCTGCTGGGGCATCCGAGGATGCCCACAGCACCAGGGGCCGGTCCAAGAGGAAGCCAGGCCTCCCACGGGGGCGGCAGGGGCCCCAGCACTGACCCATCATGGCCGCCACCAAGACATGCAGCTCCAAGGGGCCAGACAGGCAGCGGGAGAGGCCGGCTCAAGCAGCGCGAAGGCCCTGGCTCAGAGGGTCCTGGCTCGGAGGGTCCTGGCTCGGAGGGTCCTGGCTCAGAGGGTCCTGGCTCGAGGGCCCTGGCTCGGAGGGCTCGGAGGGCTCGGAGGGTCCTGGCTCAAGGGCCCTGGCTTGGAGGGCTCAGAGGGCCCTGGTTCGGAGGGTCCTGGCTCTGAGGGCCCTGGCTCCGAGGGCCGCCACCCACCTCTCGGTGCAGTCCGGCATGTTGTGCTCACAGTGGATGCCGTTGAAGCCGGCCGGGCAGGTGCAGGTGTAGCTGTCCACGCAGTCGGTGCAGTTGGCGCCGTTGCGGCAGGGGTTGCTGGCGCATTCGTTGATGTCCTCCTCGCAGAAGGCGCCCTGGAAACCCGGCAGGCAGTCGCAGAAGGCCATGTTGATGCCGTCTGTGCAGGAGCCGCCATTGTGACATGGGTCTGTGGTGGGGGAACAGGAGGGCAGGCCTGAGAGGGGGTGGGCGCACCGCCAGGCCGGCCCCCACAGACTGCCAGCCCGCTCCAGGCTCAGCCGACTCCCCAGGAGCACTGCCCTCCTCCAATGTGCCCTGCAGCGGCTGCTCGGGCCTCCCGTCTCCCCACGGCAGCAGCTGCTCCGGCCTCCCGTCTCCCCACGGCAGCGGCTGCTCGGGCCTCCCGTCTCCCCACGGCAGCGGCTGCTCGGGCCTCCCGTCTCCCCACGGCAGCGGCTGCTCGGGCCTCCCGTCTCCCCACGGCAGCGGCTGCTCCGGCCTCCCGTCTCCCCACGGCTGCGGCTGCTCCAGGATCCCCAGGAGCGCTGTCCCCCTCTGTCCTCCAGGAGGGGCCACTCACTGGGCCGACAGTCGTCCACGTTGGTCTCGCAGTTGCGGCCTGTGTACCCGGGCCGGCAGAGGCAGTGGTAGCCGCCACGCGTGTTCTGACAGGAGGCGCTGTGGAGGCACGGGTTCTTCACACACTCATTGATGTCCACCTCACAGGTCTGCCCTGCGGCAGGCGGGGGAGACACGCCACTCAGGCACCTGCGCCCCGCCACGGCACTGGCTGGTCAGGTGCCCGGGGCTCCCGCCGCCCCCGCCGCAGCCCGGGGTCCCGCCTCACCCTGCCAGCCTTGGGGGCAGATGCAGGAGAAGCTCTCATAGTCTTCTGACTCCTGGCACTTGCCAGCATTCCTGCAGGGACCGGGGGCGCAGGGGGCCAGGACCCCCTCACAGGTGGCTCCTGAGGGGACCAGAAAGGCAGTGAGACTGCAGCCAGCCCAGGCCGCCGGACCCCAGGGGCTCCGGGTGCACCTAACGCCCCAGGTAGCAGGCTGCCCCCAGGTAGCAGGCTGCGCAAGGGGCCAGCTCTGCACACTGCCCTGCCGGCCGCCTTCCTGTTTACAGGGCACAGGGTCCCGTTATCAGCCGGGCCTCACTACCTCCCCTGGCCCTGCTGGGGCGGCTTCCCAGGCCCTTTCTTTCCACTGGTTTCCACGGCGACCCGGGCAGGCAGGAACCCCGCCAGCATTTCCGACAATTGTGCAAGGGAAGCGGGAAGCGGGCAGCCAGGAAGCGGTCAGCACAGCCTGCTCCTCCCGCCCGCCCCGACGGCAGCGCAGGCCTGGGGGGGTGCTGGGGGGTGCTGGGCGGCGGGGGCGGGCCGGCAGAGACAAGATCCAGGCCCCTGCCCTCGGCCACAGCCCCCAGCCCCGCCCCCGCAGTGCCCTGGGCCCAAGCCCGGGCTGCACCACAGACCTGCAAATCTCGGAGGGAGAGGGGAGCGTTTCCCGCGACCCCTGCGGAGCCCAGGGAGACGGCCCCGCCCCTGCGCCTGGGAACAGAGAGCTCCTTGTTCCGGTTCACAAAGAGCTCCCCTCCAACCGCGGTCAAAGGATCCCGCAGGCCCCAGGAAGGTCTGCCAGATAAGGCGCGGGGGCCCTGGGCGGACCTTCTGCTGCACCTCTTTCTCCGTCTCTGCTCACCCGGCAACTCCACCCCCAGACCACAGCCCTGATTCCGAGGAGGGGGCTGCCTCTCGGGACAGAACCTTCCAGAACTCCCTTAGAGCCAGTGGGGAGACAGCCCCGCAGTGACGCCACGCGCCCCAAGGCCTCACCCGTGTAAGGCAGCGGGCAGTTGCACTTGTAGCCAGCCACGTCATCTATACACGTGCCCTGGTTCAGGCACGGGTTGGACGCACACTCGTTGATATTGGTCTGGCAGTTGGAGCCTGGACAGAGAGGGATGGCGGTCAGCAGGGCCCGCTCCACGCCCTGCCAGGCAGCAGGTACATGGGAGTCGCAAGGCCACAGCCGCCCCTAGGCTCGCCCTGGCTCACCACTGAAGCCCTCCCGGCAGGTGCACACGTAGCCACCGGTCATGTCCCTGCAGGTGCCGCCGTTGACACAGGGGTTGGATTCACACTCGTTGTTGTTGACATCACAGTTGGTCCCGCTCCAGCCGGGGGCACAGTCACACGTGTACCTGGGAGGGTGGGCGCGCTGCAGGTCAGCCACAGCCTGGGGCCTGGGCAGTCCTGGCGGTGACCAGAGGCGTCCACGGGCTCAGACCGGCAGTTGCACTCACACTGGGATGCCACCAGTCCAGAGCCAGGAAGCTCCACCCGTCCCCAACATGGACCCCGAACCCGGGGGGGTCTGTGCCAGGACCCTCGGGCACCCAGGGCCACTGCGAGGGGCGGGGCTGGGGTCCACCCTGCCAGGGAGCGCCTGCCCTCCCCGCACCGTACCCGTTCAGACTGTCCTTGCAAACCCCGTGGACACAGGGGCTGCTGTTGCACTCATTGACCTCGGACAGGCAGGTGGGGTCGTGGTAACCCTCGGGGCAACGGCAGGTGAAGGCATTGATGCCATCCTCACAGGTACCACCGTTACGGCAGGGGCTGCTGGCACACTCATCAATGTTGATGTTGCACAGGCTGCCTGTGGGCAGGTGGGCAGGGCTGGGGGCTCAGCACCACATGTGGCTCCCCGCAGCCCCCTGCCCACTCCCCTGGCTTGGCACTGCCCTCACCCATGATGGCCAACCCTCCCCCCGCAGCAGCTGTCTGCCAGATACAGGAGCCTGACCTGAGCTGGAGGGATGGCCAGGGGCGGGGACCACCCTGCCTAGGACCCTGCTGCAGGCTGGTGGCCGCAGCGGGCAGCGTGGCCTCCTGATGCCCAGCTCACCTGTGTAGCCCGGCTCACAGGCACACTCGTAACCATCAATCTTGTCCAGGCAGGTGCCCGAGTCACAGGGATTGCTGGCACAGTCATCTAGGTTGATCTCACAGTTGGGACCTGGGGAGGGGAGGCCAAGCCATCAGCTCCCAAGCCCCAGAGGGCCACCCGGACCCCTGCCCAGGCCCCGCCCTGCCAGCAAGGCCCCGCCCCTGCCAGCGAGGTCCCGCCCCTGCCAGCGAGGCCCCACCACTGCCAGCAAGGCCCCGCCCCTGCCAGCAAGGCCCCGCCCCTGCCCAGTACCTGTGGTCCCCTTGAGGCAGAAGCAGAAGTAAGCATTGTCTCGGTCCTGGCAGGTGCCTCCGTGGCGGCAGGGCTGGCTGTAGCACTCATTGATGTTGGTCTCACAGTGGTGGCCAGTGTAGCCGGGCTGGCACAGGCAAGTGAAGGTGGCCACACCGTCCTTGCAGGTGCCGTAGTGACAGGGGTCAGGGACACACTCGTCGATGTCCACCTCGCAGTGGGTCCCCGTGTAGCCTGTGTGGCGGGAGGGGTGGACACAGGAGGGGTCAGGGCACTGCCGGCTGGGCCTGGGTAACTCCTGCCCGCCTGGGGGATGGGGAGGGCACCCCAGCCAGGGTGGACGCAGAGGGAGACCCGCATGCCACCCACCCAGCCACACCTTCAGCACACACGCAGGTGTAGGTGTTGGGTCCGTCCAGGCACTTGGCACCGTTCTTGCAGGGCGTGCTGGCACACTCGTCCACATCATACTGGCATAGGTGCCCGCTGAAACCTGTGACCAGACAGGGTCTCATCACTGCTGCCTTGGGCCCCCTGCTCCCAAAGCAGCTGCTCGTGGCCACAGCTGCCTCAGGCCCCCGACCCCTCCCCAAGCCTCCCTGGCCGCCTTCGTGCCCACTGCAGGTTCAGTGCTCACTTGATTCTCGCCTCCCCCGGCTTCTAGGCTCGGGGGGGCAGAGGGTCGCCTGCCCCCAGGCTCCCCCTGCCAGCACATGCAGCGAGGCCTGGGCCCACTGCTCCTGTCGGGTCTGGCCCTGCCCCTTGGGCACAGAGCAGGTAAAGCCCCCATCGGTCCCCAGCGGAGGTTCACCTGTAGGACATTCGCACAGAAACTCGTTGGTCTTGTCCAGGCAGCGGCCGTTGTGTAAGCAGGGGCTGCTGGCACACTCGTCTGTGTTGACTTCGCAGTACACGCCCTCGTAGCCTGCAGTGGGGACAGCCAGGCAGTCAGCCTGGAGGCAGGGCAGGGAGGGGGCTCCCGGACTGCCCGCCCCGGCCCCAGAGGCGGGAGGGGGCTCCAGGACTGCCCGCCCCGGCCCCAGCCCCAGCAGCCCCAGCCCCAGCAGCCCCAGCCCCAGCGGCCCCAGCCCCAGCAGCCCCAGCCCCAGCAGCCCCAGCCCCAGCAGCCCCAGCCCCAGCGGCCCCAGCCCCAGCAGACCCTGGCCTGCAGAGGCGGGAAGGGGCTCCCAGGACTGGCCCGCCCCAGGCAGCGCACCTGGCATGCAGATACACTGGAACTCCCCGATCTGGTCCAGGCAGGTGGCATCATTCTGACAGGGGTTGGACACACACTCATTCACATCCATCTCACAGCGGGGGCCCGTGTAGCCCTGCAGGCACTGGCATTCGAACGAGCCCAGGGTATTGAGGCACCTGCCCGCGTGCTCACAGGGGTTGGCGCCTGGAGGACAGGATGACAACAACACGTGTCGGGATGCCCGGGGCACACATCCCTTGCCGCCCACTCTGGGCCCCCAGGGCTGCGCCAGCACCTACCCAGGGCACACTCGTCCACGTCCTGGCTGCAGGCTGGCCCTGTGTACCCCGAGGGGCAGGTGCAGATGGCTTTGCCGTTGACAGGGTTCGTGTCACAGTTGGAACCCTCGTTGCAAGGGTTACTGATGCAGGCATCATTCAGGTGGCAAAGCAGACCTGGGGGCAGGGGCGGCGGTTGGCGCACACAGGCCCCGGCACCTGGGAGGAGTCTCCCCCATGGCCCCAAAAGGCCAAGCTGTGCTCACCGGTGCGGCCGTGGGGGCACTCGCAGTAGAAGGAGGCCACGCGGTCGTGGCAGGTGGCGCCTTGAAAGCAGGCAGCACTGGCACAGTCGTCAATGTTCTCGCTGCAGTCCTCGCCCGTCCAGCCGTTGACGCACACGCAGTTGTAGCCGCCGTGGGTGTTATGGCAAGTGCCGCCGTTCTGACAGGCGTTGGGCATGAGCTGGCACTCGTCCACGTCCTCCGTGCAGTACTGGCCTGCGAGAGTCCGGGGGGCGGGAGGCGCGCTGCCTCAGCCTCGGCTCTCCGCCCACCGAGCGCAGGGCCCCCTCCAGGAAGCCCCCCAGGTCGACTCCCCCCTGCAGCGGGAGCCCCATCAGGCCTTCCTCTGTGCCCAAACACAACAGAGCCTTGCCTGGCCTCTGTGCCACCCCAGCCCATCATCTCTCCAGGGAAGGCCTCTGTGCCACCCCGGCCATCATCTCTCCAGGGAAGGGCTTCTGTGCCACCCCAGCCCATCATCTCTCCCGGGAAGGGCCCTGGGAGGGGCCCAAGGTCCAGTTGTACAGGCTTGGCCTCAAAGCTGGGCTAAACGGACTGCCCCGGGAACCAGCCGATGCCCGCTCCGTGCCACGCAGGCCAGTGCCCAGGCCCACCTGTCCATTCGGGCGGGCAGCGGCAGTTGTAGGTGTTCACACCGTCCACACAGGCGCCCCCGTTCTTGCAGCTGTGTGCCGGGCAGTCATCTACATTCTGCTCGCAGCTCTGGCCGGTGAAGCCTGTGGCAGGGGACCGGGTGTCAGCCTCGGCCCCGAGCGGACACTCGTCCGGGAAGCCCACCAAGACAGGGCACCTCCCCCTACAAGCTCCCCAGGGCACCTGCTAAGGGGGTGCTGCCTGCACAGGGCACCTCATTTCCCAGGCCCGATGTGGAGGACTTCCAGGGCCCCCAAGCTGGCCTCCGGCCAGCATGACCAGGGAGGGTCAGGCGCAGCCTTGGGCTCCTGGCGGCAGAGCTGTAGGGCGCGGCCCGCGGCACAGCTCAAGGCCCTCGCCAGTTCAATCATTAACCAGGTAAGGTGCGTCTGGCCACAGCCGAAGCTGCAGCCAGTTACTAATTAACGCCCCTCCCGAGGCCTCTGAACCCCACCTGCCCCCGCAGAACCCACCTGCTCAGCCCCTCCCGCTGCCCCACTGCTCACGCACAAGCTGGAGAGTGGTCTGACGCAGCCCTGCCGCTCCAGCCCGGGGGCGTGGGACCGTAATGCCTGGCCTGTGGCCCAAGCTTGGCCGGGGCGATGGAGGGGGAGAGCGTGTGACAGCCTACAGGGCCCCCGGCCAGCTCTCTGCCCACACAGGCCTGCCCTAAGACGGGGCCAGCCAGAACCTGAGAGGGGCTGCCCAGGGCCGTTGCCAGGAGGAGGGGAGTCCACTGCTGCAGCCTCGGGTCTGACACCTCCATCACGTCACCGTCCTTGGCAGCACTTTCCAGGCCACAGTAAACTGACTTATGTCAGAAGGAGGGGCACTTGGCCTGCCGGGGCCAGCGGGCACTCCCCATGACACCAGGGGGCACAGTTGCAAAGCCCGGGCAGGTGCATGGGGCAGAGGCTACTGAGACCCAGCACTGTCACAGCCACATTCCCTGACCTCGAGCGGGCACGGGCTGGGGGTCCTGGGCGTCAGCGGGGTGTACTGCCCCGCTCCTCCCAGCGGGCACCCTTCAGCACCTGCCCCAGGCTCCCACAGCCCCACACAGCCGTGCGCCTGGAGGTGGGCTTACCTGGGAGACAGGCACATTCGTGCGTGGTGTCGCCCGTGGGGTGACAGGTGCCTCCGTTCTGGCAGGGCGAGGGGCTGCAGGGCACAAAGGGCAGCTCGCAGCGGCGGCCGGTGTGGGTGGGGCGGCAGGCACAGCGGAAGGAGCCAACCAGGTTGTGGCAGGTGCCCCCGTGGCGGCAGAGCCCGGGGGTCTGAGTACATTCATTTACATCCTGCCGGCACGTGGGGCCGTGGAAGCCGGACAGGCAGCGGCAGATGTAGGACGACTCGAAGGGCAAGCACTGGCCGCCGTTGGCACAAGGGTTGGAGGCACACGGGTCTGCCTGCTGGCATGACTTCCCTGGTGGACAGAGGACGGGGAGGGGTCAGCCCCTCGACTCAGGCCTCCCTGGGGAGTCCAGAGGCAGCGGGGCGCTGGGGAGGCGCCAGCTCAGGACTGACCCGAGGCGTGACCTGCTCTGGGGGAGATGTGGTCATTCCGCCGAAGTGACCTCTCCCGGCTCCGGCTGGGACGGAGCAGCAGGTGGACGGGGCAGCTGCAGACTGGGACCCTGGCCCCCCACCCCCACTCCCGACAATGCACGCCCTAACAACTGCTCCTAAGCCAGAGTCGGGGGACAGGGCTACACGCAGAGGCAGGGACCCTGAGGCTGTGGGGTGCTGCAACACACAGCCAAGACGTGTCCGGTCTGCCCCAGCTCTCCCAGCAGGCACCGGACATGGGGGACCCCCGCCCCCAGCTCTCCCAGCAGGCACCGGACATGGGGGACCCCCGCCCCCAGCTCTCCCAGCAGGCACCGGACATGGGGGACCCCCCACCCCCAGCTCTCCCAGCAGGCACCAGGCCTGGGGGGACCCCCCACCCCCAGCTCTCCCAGCAGGCACCAGGCCTGGGGACCCGCCCCCTGCCCCAGCTCCCCCAGCGGGCACCAGGCCTGGGGAACCCCCACTGCCAGATCTCCCAGCAGGCACCGGACATGGGGACACCCTGCCTGTCCCACCCTGCAGATTGAGCCGCCCCGCTGCACCCCCTCACCTGACCAGCCTGGGGGACAGCGGCACTTGTACTCTGACAGCGTGAGGAGGTCGCAGGTACCCCCGTTCCGGCAGGGGTTGGGGACACAGGCGTGGTCCAGGGGCGTCAGGCACAGGGGTCCCGAGAAGCCCAGGGGGCAGGTGCAGGTATAATCCACGGCGCCCATGCGCTCCACCACGTGGCACGTGCCCGAGTTCCGGCAGGGGCTGCTGAGGCATGGACTGGGGTCCTGGCATCGAGGGCCCACGAAGGCCCCGCTGCAGCTGTGGGCAGACAGGCAGGGTGGTGAGTAAAGCCCAGCACAGCAGCCGCTGTGGCCAAGACGCCCAGGCAGGGCTCCCGAGGGTGCTAAGGGCTCCTGCAGCCCACAGGCTCCCCATCCTGTCCCTGTGAAGTGACCGACTGCTGTCTAGGGGGTGTCAGGTTGGGGGCTGGAAGGTTCTGGACAACGTTTGGTCCTCACCCCTGGGTAAGCCAGGAAGAACGGCCTGCTGGGCAGGGGCCAAGCACCTCCTGCCAGAGCCCCTGATTACCACTGAGTGATGGGAACCATTCCAGTGTGCCAGGAGCTGCGAGGCAGGGTGGCCACACAGCCCATGGACGGCCGGGCTACCAGTCTGGTGTGGCCTGGACGCCACCACTCACGCCCTCTTCACAGCTGGGGAAACTAAAGGGAAGCCCAGGCCTGGGCTCGCGGGCTCCTCCATGCTGCCCCTCAGCCACCTGCTGGCCCTGGTCTACGGGATGGGCCGTAAAACCGTGGCCTGCTCGGCCAAAGGGACACTTTCCCAGCGGCAGAGACCCTGAGGCGGAACGGCCAGCGGGTCAGCAGCCCTCGCCCCTCTGCCTGCCTGAGAACCCGCCGGGTTTGCTGGGTGCCCCTCGCTTTGGCCCTCCCTGGACGGCGCCCCAAGACTCCACCCACAACCCAGGAGACTGTACAAATGCACACACGGCTGTGGGGTGGGCAGGGAGGACACAAAATGGCCCCTCGCTCGGCCCGACCATCTGCTGTGAGAAGCCAAAAGTCCCAAACCAACCAGGCTTGGAAAAATGCGCGACCTGACCGCCGGTGCCCCACAGGGCCCAGCCCCGAGGAACGCCCGGCATAGCCGGCCCCAGGCACTGCGTGCCTACACCTGCCTCCTGCAGGGTCCCTGCGCAGGAGGTCCAGTTACAGGGAGCCTGTATCAATGGCTCATTGTCGCACACAGGAGCTGGCCACAGTTCCCGCTTGGAGAAAGAGTCCTTTCTCTCCTTCCAGCCACTGACGCCGTTGGCAGGGGGCGGAGGCAGGACACAGGGTTCCCCCACACACGCTGGGGCCCCGGGCGGGGGGGAGGCCCACCCTGCCGTATACAGCCAGGGCCACTCCATTACCGGTCAGCGGTGCTCCCTGGGTGTCCCAGGGTGATGCTCGGACCCTTCCCAGACCTGTCCGGACCCGTGGCCTTCCCATCACAGAGGCTGCACCACGCTGGGGGCGGGGGCATAGATCAGGAGTTGGCAGCTTGGACAAAGGCGGTGGGGGCAGGTGTGCCAGGGGACGGACGTGGGACAGCTGCTCCCACTGGGGCCGCCGGCAGCCGATGCCGGCGAGTGGGGCAGCACTGGGCAGCCGGCCGGCTGAGGCAGCTCGCTCCTCCACGGGGGAATGAGAGGGTCTATTGTCCTCACTGCCACCCTGGGCTCTGGGACGCCGCACTGAAGGCACGCTGCCCAGCAGGGCCTGCCCCAGGGCGGCCGACACGGCCTGCATGTGTCACAGGAGATCAAGGCCTGTCGGGAAGGGTATTCCTGCCCCCACAGTCTGCTCCAGTTCCAGCCAATGTCCACCTGGCTCCACAATGGGACTGCCCAGGGACAGACACCTGTCGCATCTCCCTCCTACCTGGGCCCAAGTCCAGCACTGCCCTGGCAGCGCCCACTGCAGCCTCCACACCTGTGCTGGCATGCCAGCACAGTAAGAGGCCTCTGAACAGTTTGGGGAAGGTGCATCGGGGGACCCACAGGGTCTCTGCACCGAGTCCTCGGCCAGGCGGCGCTGAGCGGCCACTTCCCTCCGAGATGGACGACACGAACTGCCCCGTCCCCCACACCCCAGGCCCCCTGTCCCTCCTCGGGGTCCATGGGCACCTGCTCACCCACTGCGCCTTTCCAGTGCCCTTGGTGGCCCGGCCTCTCAGGTGGGCAGCAGGTGGCTGAGGGTGCTTGGATGCACCAGGTCTGCTGTCCACAGCCCTGGCCTCTTCTTCCGGTCCCCAGCGGCCAACATTCCCACTGCTGGCCCGCCCCGCCCGCCAGCGTCCACAGAAATGCGATTTCTAAAGGCCCTGGAGGCAGATGCTGGCCTGACCTTCCACCCGGGACTAATTCCAAATTGCTCTGTTTTCTTTTCTAAGAAGAGCCATCTGCCGTCCCCAGGGGACAGACTACACGCCCTCGCCCCCTCCCCTCCGCCTGGCCAGCAGTTCCTGCCCTCAAGGAGGTCACCTCTAGTTGGAGGACCCTCAGAGCCCCAGCAAACTCTGGGGGATCCTGAGGGGATAAAGGCAGGACCCCCCCCCGGGCACTTCCTGGTCTCCATCTCCTGTGGGGGTGCATGGTAGGTAGGGGAGCAAGGCTGTCCGCCACCCCAGCACAGGGGAAGTCCAGCTCTGGCCAGGTTGGGCTGGCAAGTGTGCCTGGGGCACTGGCATTACGCAAGTGGGACACTCAGGGGCAGCTGTAGGACACCCCTGGCACACAGGTGACCCACTCTGCTCTAGAGCCAAGGTCTGCCGTGGAGAAAGCTGAGGACATAAGGCCGTATGGCATGGTGGGCATCGCTGTGGAGAAAGCCCCCAGGACATGAGGCTGTATGGCACGGTGGGCATTGCCCGGCGCAAGCCCAGCACAGGCACCTCAGGGGAGGGGGCACGGGCTGCTCCCAGCACTGAAGCTGGGCACACGCCGGGCAGGTGGCATCCCAGAGGGAGAGCAGCCCCCACTTTAATGAGCCCTTAGCCAGCTCCACCTGTCCTCCCTGACTGGCCCAGGTGTGTCTGCCCTGCCGGCCCCTCCCCAGGCTTCCCATCTCTGCCAGCTCCCAGCCCATCTCCCCGACACACGGGTCCAAAGTTTCCTGGTAGACAATATAACCTGGAGGAGGTTGTCGTCACCTGCTCCCAGGAGGGTCCCCCCGCCCAGGCTCAGTCAGGGGGGCTTGGGCTCTTGCTGCACATGCTGGAAGCCTCCCCTCCCACCAAGGCACCTGCCATGCATCCACGCCATGTGCAGGGATGGGGGAGGAGTGCCATGGCCCCTGCCAAGCCCTGCACGACCTGAGGTCCTTCCACGAAAGGACAGGCAGGGCAGCTGGGCAGCAGGGCAGAGCCCGGGAAAGGCTGTGCAGAAGCAGCGGAGGAGAGAAGTGCAGTCACAAAGCCCTGCGGGTCTCCCCTTTCTGCCCCCAGCTGGGACAGAAGCCAGGTGTACACACAGCCGGAGTGCCCATGAGGCCAGGCACTGCTGGGCCTGCCCCCCTCCAGGCTGGTGCTTCACCTGCCTCCGCAGTGGCCGTTGGTGAGGCTGGCCGCGAGGCAGGGGCCAGCCAGATGTGGAGGCAGCAGTGGGGAGGGGGGCAGGGCCGGCTTCCCAGAGTTGCAAGGCTTGGCTCTTTTTTTTAAGAACTCTGTTCTTTGTCCTCCAATCTCTGCCCTCAGTTGCATCCTCAGTGGCTCAGAAAGTGCTGGAAAGAGGACGGACAGGAAGGCCCAGCTTCCTTCCCTGTTGGGGGAAGCCCTTTGTGTGGGAGGTGGCTGGGGACCCTGTCCTCGTCCTACCGGGAGCCCCCTTTCCCACCACAGCGAAACAATGCCTGCAGCACCCCCACCCGTGGGACCCGAGGAACCCCCCTCGGAGAGGCCCCTGGGGCAGGGCAGGCTCCAGTAGCTTCCGGGAAATGGCCCAGCTGGAGCGTGCAGGAGTGCTCTGTGGGGAGTGGAGGGGAGAAGGGAGCGTGGCTGGCAGCCCTGCCCAGCACGGTGGGAGGCACCCCAGAACCAGCTGTCCCCAAGCAGGCTGGAAGGTGGTGAGGGGTCCTGCACCCCACAGTTACCCATGGGCACCCAGGGCACACACCATGGGCAGTGCTTGCCCCTGAGGAATGCAGCCACCAGGTCCCCCTCCACACATGGGAGCGGCCGGTGCCTCCGAGAGGGGGGCACCCGGGGATGCCCAGCTCCTGCTCAGTCCCCCTGGCTGAGAACGGGGCCAGGGTACACAGCACTGGTGCCTCTGGGGGCACCCAGGGATGCCCAGCTCCTGCTCAGTCCCCCTGGCTGAGAACGGGGCCAGGGTGCACAGCACCTGCACGAGGGCCCTGCAGGGCAGCAGGTCCATGGGAAAGGCCTGCAGGTTGCAGGGACCATCTGATCTAACCCAGGATCAGCTGAAACGTGAAACCCCAGGGGTGGAGGCAGAGCTCCAGGTGGGAGGCCTGGGAACCTGTGGTCCCCAGCCAGTGCCTCCCACACACCCCCAGATGGTCACACCCTGGCCACTGGGGGCACTGGTGGGCCAAGGAGAAACCCACCCCCACCTACCCCCAGGACGAGAGCTGGCGCGCTGAGCCCTGAGCTCTGCCTCAGCCAACGGCTGCCGTGAGGTCAGCTCTGGGCGGTGCTGGGGCAGGCAGAGGGTTCACTGCAGCTCCTGGAAGCCCACCCCCATCCTCACCGAGACCCCCCTTTCTCTCTGACTAGACAACCCCAGCCCCGCTCACCCGTGCACAGCCAGCGGCTCCTAGCCCTCAAGGGAGCGGGGCTGCAGCACTGAACCTCAAGGTGGACCCCAGGGCTGTGCCAAGTGGGGGTGCTCGGCAAGCCCCTGGACAAGGTCTAGGGAGGGGTCACCTGGGCCATGCGCGTGTCCACACTGTGCCCTGACCGAGTTAAAAGGGCAGCACCCAGGAGCAGGGCTGGGCGAGGGGCTGGTCTGACCCAAAGCCCAGGCTGCCCATCTGGGCCCAGCATGGCTGCCCCCACAGCTGAACCCCAGTGTCAGGGGAAGGGCACTGCTGTGGTCAGGCCCAGCCGCCCTAACACACAACCCTCCCCGCCGCCACTGGAGGAGGAAGTGAGGCAGAGGGAGGCCCAAAGATTGGAATTGGGGTGGGGGCGGGCAGTGTGGGGCAGTGGGCACCGAGTCCCTGCTGGGCAACGTCGACCAAGCAGAAAACTACCAGGGAAAATCAGGCCGAGCCCCTCCCCCACGGCCCGATTCCAGCGACCATGGGCTTTGGCAGCAGCACCTGAGCTGGGAGGGAGGGGAGGTGTCAGCCCCACGCAGGGCTGCCCCGGGCTATGGCGCTCACACCTCAAGCCTGGCGCCCACTGGCCCCCAGCCCACCCCCTGCGCTGCCCAGGGGTCCTCCAGCTCGAGACCAGCAAGGATTTCCTCGCAGGTCACAGCAAGGCTCCTCCCATCCACCCAGGAGGTCGGGGCCTCAGAGGTGCCCCCACACCCAAAGGGGCCTCTCGGGCATGGAGCGCGGCACCCCTCACCCTGGGCCCACGTCCACGGGCTGCCTGGGACCTGCACACCTGCTGGCCCACCCCAGGGCTTCAGGTGACCCCAATCCCAGCTGAGTCAGGGTGTGCTCCACACTGCGGCCAGACAAACCTCAGATGCTCACATCCAAAGTTCCTTCCCTAGGGACTCGGACGCCCAAGTGCCACCACCGTGGGCTCTGAGCACCGCCGATGTGGGGACCCCAGCACCACCGACATGGGCCCCGAGCACCGCCAACGTGGGGACCCCAGCACCACCGACATGGGCCCCGAGCACCGCCGATGTGGGGAACCGAGAGCCGCCGACGTGGGCCCCAAGCACCACCGATGTGGGGACCCCAGCACCACCGACGTGGGCCCTGAGTGCTACCAAGCCCTGCCTGCGGCCCCCTCAGCAGCAAACACGCCAAGTCTCCCGGTTGACTGACACCCCATCCCCGGTCCTCAGGGAGCCGCTGGGCGCTGGGGGGTCCTGGAAGACCACGCCCCTCTGGAAAGAGGCGTCCCTCTGCAACTCCCAGGCGGCTCAGGCTGGAGCCAGCCCAGCTGGGCAGCCCAGTCACCGGCAGACCATCCTGGGGCCTGCCAGGCCCAGCTGGAAGGGGCTGGAGGCACAGGGCATCTCCCCACCCCCACTGGGCCCAGGGCCAGCCGCTCGTTAAACCTGGGCCAGCGTGTGCCCACCCTCCAGAAGGACCCGCCCAATCTGGAGGCTGGGGCTGCCCACGCCTCAGCGTTCCCACCTGTAAACTGGGAATAAAATGGACCACGCCCACCAGGCCCAGCTGGCTCCCAGCAGCAGCGGCCGGGCTCCCGGGAGGTAGGCCGCCTTGGCCAGTGCCGCTGTCTCCCTCACGACGCCCAAGCCACATCCTCCAGCTATTTATAGACATGACAAGAAACAGGAAAGACCCCTCCCCCCACCGCACGGCTGCCGGGGTGAGGGGCCCAGCCAGGCCCAGCTGGAGTCCCCCCCAGCCCGCCCCTGCCTCGCGCCACCTCCCACCCCACCCCTCCCTTCTTAGGGCCGCTTTGCAGCAGGAAGACCTCAGGCCGTGCGAACAGGGCCTGCCCCGGGAGGCACCCTCCTTCGAGGAACCGGCCCCACGCCTGCCCCAGCCCGGCGGAGCGGGTCCCGCCTGTCACCCCCTCCAAGCCCAGGTGCAGTGTGCAGGGGTGGCCTGCCACGACCTCACAGGAACTGTGCATGCCCGGGCCCCCACGGGACGGGCAGGTGACTCGGTGGAAACTGCGGGGCAGGTGACACAGCGGCCTCACTCGGGCCGTCACTTCCCGCCTGGCCTGCAAAGGGAAGCCACACCTCCAGCCCCGCTTCCTCGCCCGGCAGTGGCCGGGAAGTGACGGTGTGAGGGGGTGGGGGCTGTGCCACCCCCGGGCTGGTGCCCGTCAGACAGGGGCAGGCACTAGAGCCCCCCGCAGCCCGAAGTCGCCCAGTCCTGGCCGCTGAGGGGCCCAGCCACGCGTGGAGCCCCTGGCTTCGGCCTGGTCCGCCCCGGTGCTGGAGTAAACCAGCAGATGGAAACCTCTGCTGCCTCGGCATCGGGCTATGACAGTACTGCAGGGTGCAAGAAGCCGTCCCGGCAACACAGCCCACGGGACTGTGTGACTAAAGCTGGCCCTGACCTGGGCCCATCCTGCAGGATCCCTGGGTCAGCTCCCGAGATCCCCGATGGGCCACAGCTCCCTGCGGGCGGGTAAGACGGCCTCGCTGCCGGCGCCCACCACGCGCTGAACAAGCCACTCTCACGCCAAGAGCCGGGGATGCAGGCCGGGGGATGCTGGCCCAGGGGGTCACCCCACGTCTGCAACTCCCTTCTAGATATCACCGCGGCCGCATGACCAGCCCCACACGACATGGTCAAACCCCCGTCACTCTGCTCCCTGTGCCCACCTGCAGCTGCCATGGCTGCCAGGTTCTGCCACTGCCCAGGGGCTGTGCCCACCCCAAGGATGCAGCCACTCCCGGCCACAGCTGTCTCCACCTCTGAGCCCCGAGGCCGCCTGACCGTGCGGTGGCCACGGGAGCTTCCTTCCCTCCAGGATGCAGGAGATGACCCAGCAAGCGCTGCAGGGCCTACAGGAGCCACGCTTCCCACACCCTGGGCCAGGAGTGTGCAGCTGCCCGCCTGCCCTGCTGGGACCCTGGGCATGGCGATGGGCAGGGCTCAGAAGCACCCCAGACCAGGGTGGGTCTCTCTGGCCATCCCGGGCCTTGGGAGCAGGCAGCCCGAGTCCTCGACATACATGCTCCGAGGCCAGGCTGCCCAGGGTGAGCGCCTCTGTGGCCAGCACTTCCGTCCTGGCTTCCGATTGGCTCCTGGGTGGGCACAATGAGGCCTCTGTGGGCGCACTGGGCCGCGGGCCAGGCTCCCCACTGGGCAGCAAAGGTGCCACAAGCTCTGGGAAGGAGGCACGGAAGGCGCCCAGCACCCGAAGGCAGGTGTGGACGCGAGGAGGGGGCCAGTGGGCACCCTGCAGCCCGACCCTTGCAGCAGCCCGGGGGCTCCTGTCCCGGCCCGGCCCCCTTCTGCCAAGGTTCCCAGCCCAGAGCGGCCCGCGTGAGTGGCAGGGAAGGGCATAATTAATCGCACGGCATTAATCCGCCTCTCCAACAATAGCGGCTGCCCTGCCACTGCATCCCAGCTGTCGGCCCACGGCTCCTGCAGCAGCAGAGGCGGCCCCCAAAAAGCAGGGGAAAGTAGCAGCAGCGTGCATTCATTAGCGCCCACAAAGACACAACCCGCTTTGTCCACCGGACCGCTCGAGAGCCGTCTAATTGGCTTCAGCGTGGAGAGGGCGGGGCGGCCTGCCCACCGGCCGGGCACCGGGGAGGCCAGAGGCGCCCGGGGTTGCCAAGGCAATGGGTCCTCCGGCTGCTGGAATGAGGGCGCCCCCGGCAGGGGACTCCCTCCAGCCCAGACGCCTCCTCCTGAGTCACATCAGAAATGAGCTGAAGTTGAAGGGCAGCGGCCGGCCAGCCATGACGGGAGGACGCCCGGCCGAGGCCCCTGGGCAGGCAGGCCGTCTGTCCGGCTGGCTGGCAGGCCAGTGCATTCCAGGACTAACGCCCAGCCCGCCCCCCCTCAAGGCCTGGAAGTCAGGGACTGCAATGCCAGGGTGGGAACCCCCTCCCAGGCACAGGCCCTGCACCCCACCTGCACCCCACAGCAGGTGACTCTGTCCAGGTGGGGGCGGAGCCTTCCCCGGCCCACGAAGGAACACCCAGACCTCCAGCGGCCACGCGGCATAATTGGTGGTGATTAAGTAATTGCCAGACGGGGTCCAATAAAACTCAGCACGTGACCCAGCCCGCCTGCGTCCAGGGCCAGCCCCAGGAGACAATGGCCCAGTGTTAGGTCCTCGGGGCGGGAGCCCCCTCCCCACGGAAGCAACAGGGTACTCACACACAGGCCTCGGTGCCGTTGGCCACTTCACACCTGCCGTCATTCAAGCAGCTCTCGGCTGGCTGTGAGCATCTCAGGCCTGGGGGGGGATCAGAGAGGGGGGTTACATGCATGCATGGGGCGCACTGATCCCCTTCCCGCCACGGCCAGGCGCCTCAGCGCCCTGAGCAGCTTCTGCAGTCAGGAGTGGGGCCGCGGGGTGGGGACGGGGCAGCAGGTGGACAAGGTGGCAGGTGGACCCTCCGCCCCGGTGGGGAGGGGCCCGCTGAGCTACTGTCCCAAACTCTGCGCCCTCCCGCTTCCGCAGCCGGGGGCGGGGGGACCCGGGGAGCCCTGGGGCTCCTGTCCAGCCCCGGCGTGGTCTGCGAGGGCACGGCGGGCCAGGCAGGGGGGGCAGCCAACACTGGGTCTCCGCTCGTGGGAAAATGCGACAGCTGCTCGCCCGCCGCCCCGCCCGCCGACCAAAGCGCCGGGCGCGGAATCAGAGCGGCCCATTGTGGCCAGGGGACAGCGCCCGGGACCGCCCCGCCTCCGCGGACACCCAACACCTCAGCCGGCGGCGGCCGTCTCCAGGGGCAGCCCCGTGTGTCCCCCCTCCCCGAAGGAGGGGACCCGAGCGCCTGCTGCGGCCATGCAGAGCCGGACCCCCACCCCCTGCGCGGGACCGGGCACCCAGGGCCGTGGAGCCCACAGGCCATTCTCACGCCCGGAATTAATCGGCCCCGGATTCCCCGCGGCTCCCCCGACGGGAGCGGGCAGGAAGCAGTGCCCCCCGCGCCGCGGCCCTCTCTCCCGCCCCCGCGATTTCCAAAACTTTTAACTCCCGAGAGCGAACGACAAGAACCAGCCCCGCCGGGCATCGCAGCGTCTCCCTCCGCAGACTGCCCGTGGGCCGGGTTAGGGGCCCCCTCTCCCGCGCTGCCCCGTGGGTGGGGGGGCGCAGCGGAGGCGGGCGCGCAGCCCCGGACCCCCACGTCCCGCGCGCCCTGACATCCGCCCCGGCGCCGAGCGACAGGCAAAGAAGAAAAAATATACAGGAAGCCGAAGGGACGCGATTCAAACCGAAAAGCCGTAGGCAGCCGCCCGCCCGCGCGCCCCGGCGGCGAGCCCCACGGGGGCCCCCCGGTGCCCCACGCCCGGGCGCGGAACCCGGCTCCGAAGGCGAAGCGACGCCCCGACGGGCAGCGAGGAGGAGGGTCCGGGCCGCCCTCTCCCACCCCCGCCACGGCCCAGGTCCCCCCACCCACTCTCGGCCACGCGAACCGCCAAGTTTGCGAAGCGCGCGGGGAGCTGCGGGCTGGGACGCGCGGACGCCTACCTCTCGCGGCCAGCGCGGGCAGCAGCGCCAGGCAGATCAGGGGTGCCAGCAGCGGCCGCATGCCTGCCCGTCGGCTGCCCGCTGCCCCGGGCGGCGGCTCCTGCGCGCTCGGGCGTCCACGCGCGCACGACGGTCCAGCGGGCGGCTCCGGCGGCTGCCCGCTCCTTCGCTCCCGCGGTGTCCGGGCCGCTCGCCCCTCGGCTGCGCCCGCGCCCCTGCTCTCCCGCCCGCGGCCGAAGCACGAGTGAGGCGCCGGGCCGCGCTGCGCTCCGCCCCCGCCGGCCGCCCCGCCCCGGCCCCGCCCGCGCGCGCGCCCCGCGCGCCCCCAGCCCCGCGCGCCCCGCGCGCGCCTCCGCCTCCGCAGCCCGGGGGTGCGCGCGCGCGCCCGGAGCCGGGGACCCCGCGGGGCTTGGGGGGCCGTGGCGGGGCGTGCGAGCGCGGCGCTGGGGGACTGCTGGTCGCCCCAAAGTTTTCAGCGGCCTAAAAGTTTGAGCTGGGGCTGCGGAAGGATCCGCCCAGGCCGTGGCCCCGCGCTCGGAGACATTTGGGGACGATTTGCATGTCAATAGCTGGGAAGCGCGGGCGTCGTGGGGAACGCGAGACCGCGGGGTTAGCCCGGTCGGCCGGGCTCTGGACCCTTGGAGGTGGGGAGAGGGATCGGCCAAGGCCAAGTTTGGGTGACCCCCGGAGGCGGAGCTGGGGACCAGGAGCCGGGGCGGGTGCTGCGCAGGCCAGGCGGCTCTGCTCCCGGGAACCTTGTGGCCGCGGATTTACCCTGCGCAGGGTCGAGGCCAGACCCCCCTCCGGCCCCCGGCCATGGCTTCCGGAGCACTTGACCTTGAGGGACGGGGGCGCGGCGGGGGCGGAGAGGGCTCAAAGCCGGGGAGTCGCCAGAGGCGTAGTTGGTGCCTCCACCGCAGGGGCAGTCCGCAGCCCTCTCTCCCTTCCCGTCTCGGGGTACTGCACGCCCGAGGGACCCCCCGCCCTGGGGGGACCCCCTGCCCCGCGGGCACAGCCGCTCCCACGTGCTCCTTCCGGGTCATTTCTTTTCTTTTCTCCCCTGCAGCGCCAGACGTTGGCATCCTGTGCCAAGCTGCGTTATGCGCTCTGGGGCACTGGGCCTCTAAGCTGTCTGCCAGAGTCCCTCTGCAAGCAGAGTTCAAGGCGGACCGGGAGCCAGCTGCACTCCCTCGCTGCCTGGTCCCGGCTGTGCGAGGCTGAGGGGGTGGGGAGGGGGCGCTTGGCACACCTGAACCTGCTGCCCTTCCTGGCACAGCTGCGTCCTGTCGAGGCCGCCGAGTGGTGCTCCTGGCACCTGCTGGAGCCGCGGCTGCGCGGGGGAGGGGCGGGGAGGCCGGTCTCCTTTGTGGGAGCCAGAGCCTGGGGCAGCGTGTAGGGGTCAGTGCCCGAGAGAGGAGGCGCCTGAGCCTCGATGTTTATGTAGTAGAACCCTGCATCCTGGACCGGCAGCTTCCATACAAGGAAGAGCTGCCGCACACGGCTCGTGCAGCCTGGGGAGGGGGCCCGAACGGGCACAGAGCACGCGCTCCCCGGGACATGAGATTTTGAGTGCAGAGCAGGGACAGGGGGCCCAGAACTCGAGCAGGGGGTGTCCAGGGACAAGGCCTCCTCCTCCTCGGAAGCCAGGGCAGACAATTCCTGTCCCCGGACTGGCTGGGCGCCCTGACCCTGTTGGGGGATGCTGCCCTAGCTGGCAGAGGGGCTAAGCCAGTTCCTATCAGTTGCAGACACAGTGGGTGACTTCCCGGGTGGGGCGCGCGTGCTTGGAAGAGCTGACCGTCCACCAAGCAGAGCGGAGCAGCCCACAGGTGTCCACGGAGCGTGTGTGTGTGTGCGCTCGCCCAGGGGTTGTATGGCCAGGTGCGTGTGGGTATTTGCGTGTGCATGACTAGGTAGTTGTATATGCAGGTGGCATGTATGTGTGTAAGTAAACGTGTGTGTGTGTACACCTGTGTCCATGTGCGCAGCGAGCGCAGGGCCCAAGCCCCCCAGGAGATCCTGTGCAGCAGGGCTCAGCTTCCTGGGAAGTCGGGGCTGCCAGCCCTTCGTCCCTTGCAAGCGCTCAGGACCCAGGGCTCAGCGGGGGCCTGACCACCAGCCTCCACGTCCACCCCAGCCAGGCACAGGCCCTCCAGGTCTCCCGACCCGGGGCCACGGATTCCCAGGCACCAGGTGGCCTGAACTCCTGGCTATTTTTCCCTCCAGAAGCAGCCACGGGCGGCTGCAGGGGTGGCCATTGTTGGTCCAGGGCTGGCCGTTGGTCAGGAAGGAGGGGCTTGGGTGGCTGCTGGGAGCTTGCTGCATACAGCCGTGTGGGACACTCAAGTCACAGTGGGTGCGTGGCCAGGGGCCGAGCAGGACAGGTTCAGGCCGACCTCAGAGAGCCTCCCCTGACACTCGTGCACTCACGCGCAGTCAGGGCAGGACTAGAGCCTGCACGCCTGTGCCCCCTCAGCACACACCTAGCCCCGTCTGCCGCCACCTGCAGCTGCTGGACATCACCCAAAGGCCAGCCCTGCCACGTCCCGGCAGGTGAATGCCCGTGCTGCCCTGTCCCAGCGAGTGTCCCAGCTGTCCAGTGTCCTCTGGGGTCTGGCCACAGGTGCAGCGGCACCAGGTGTGGTGGGGACCTGCGCAGGACCCTGTCTGTCTGCTTCCGGCAGGGAAGGACGAGGTGGGGCGGTGAGTGGTCCAGGGCAGGGCCCGTGCTCTCCCCCAGCACACAGATGGAGTGGGTGCTGCCCGGGCAAGTCCCCAGACGGGTACCGGCTCCAAGCAGGTGAGCTGCCGTGGGCCTGCGGGCTTTGAGGCAGACCTACGGCTGGGGAGAGGGGGCAGCGCAGGCCCAGCTAGAGACCACCGCCTGGCCTTTCCTGGGGGCCCAGCTGCAGGTGACAGGGCATGGTCGCGGAGGAAGGGCCTCTGCAGCCCCTCCAGCCCCAGTCCCTGCAGTGCCTGGGTCAGTGGTCTACCGCGTGGGCCAGCAGGATCCCCAGGAACCAGGGGCGTGCGGGTGGGGCTGTGCCAGGGGGAGGGTGGGCACAGGGCCGGCCGGTGCAGGACCTCGACCCAAGATGGGGTGGGAGGCTGGGGAGTGAGCCCACACCACCGCGTGGGAGGAGCCGCTGGGCCCTGGGTGGGCTTGGGCAGCAGTGAGGGGCTCTGCCCACCCACCTGAAAGAGCCTGTGGGAGGGGCACACCTCCCTCCAGCCTGGCCCCCTGCCGGCTGCTCAGAACTTTCTCCAAAAGGAAAGGGCCTCAGGGGACGAAACTGCCAGGCCCCGCCCCCTGCGCTGCGGGCGCGCTCCGCCTGCACAGGGCTGAGTCACAGGGGGGCAGGCCCGCCCCTCCCCCAGTGTCCTCCCTCCCCCCTCTTCCTTCCCTCCCCCTTCTCCCTTCCTCTCCGTGGCTGAGAATACCTGGAACGCTCATTTTAATCTCAAGGTCCATTTTCACTCTAACTGGGTTTCCTAGAACACAGCAGATCCCTGGGCCCCAGCAGGAATCCCCCAGGAGCCAGAACCCCGACCCCCAGATTGGGATCCCCTCCCCCCACGGGGAGCCTGACATTTTGCCCCAGACACATCCAGAGCTCAGGCTCCCCCCAAACCAGAAATGGGGGTGGCCCCAGGGCAGGTACACATCTGCGAGTTATTTGCGGGTCTCCGGGGGGCAGGGGAACTCCCAACCCTCCTTCCACAATTCTCCATGTTTTGCCTTGACAGCTACGGAAAAAATTTGCCAAAACCCAGAGGCGCCTGTGAATGTTGGAGGGAACGTGGGAACAGCGCGGGAGGGTGTTGCCAGCGGCCTGGGCCCCGGGCGGGGTCGTCTGACACCACCACCATCCCGGGGCAGCAGGAGGAAGGACGAAGGACCGGAGAAGGCTGCCCGGCGCCTGCCCAGCGCTGGTGGGTGTGGCGGGGTGGGGGCTGCGCAGAGGGTCCTGCCCTGGCCTCTGCTTGGGGCCTGGCATCTCCCAGGGGTCTGTCCTGTCCGTCCCCAGGGCTGGGGTCCAAGCGGAGCTGTGAGAGCATCTGCTGTCCTGAGCCGCCCCCGCCCCCCGCGTACCCCACCCCCAGCCCGGAAGCTTTGTGTGGCTGCAGGGGGTGGGGCAGCAGCGGGCCAGCTGGCCCCAGGGACCTGCAGGGAGTGCGGTGGCGGCAGCTCTCAGCAGGTCCACACGTCTTTCTGTCCACTCACCCGCCCATCTGCCCGCTCTGTCACATGGATCCCGCTGGCCCAGCCGTCTGTTCACGGAGCATAGGCGCTGGGGCCTGGCCAATCCCTGGGCGGGGCAGGGGGACGCTGCTGGCAGGCGGCTCATGGGCTGGGTGATGGGGCCAGGCAGTGGACAGCAGCAGGGACAGTGCCTGGCAGGGGTATGGAGGGGCGCCGTGTTGAAAGGCAACCTCTACATGAAGCCCCTCCCCTGTGTGCTGGGCGGAGGGGGTGGGTTGACCACCGGTGGAATGTTGCTGGTGGAGGGACTGCAGGTGCGTGGAGCACAGCTGAGCGCAGAGCTGGGCTCCCATGGGTGCAGCCGGGCAGGGAGTGACACGAGGCCTGGCACAGTCTGTGGAGGAGCCTCCCGGGAAAGCTGCCCTGCTGCTCGCTCTAAGAGCACGCCCGGGCCCAGCGAGGACCCCCAGGCACCTCTAGCCCGTGGCTGCAGCGCGGTGCCTAGCCGCACTGCTCACAGCCTGGTTCCTGAAGGACGTGAGGGTATGGCCCCCTTCCCAGCCTCTACCTGAGACACCGGGCATGGCCGGTGTGGCCGTGCTGTGGCTAGAGGCAGCTGGGGCCCCCAGAGCCAACCGCGTGTTGGAGCACAGCGGGCAGGGGCCCCTAAGCGCAGCTGTCCGCCCCGGCCTGCCAGCCCCGCCCATCCTAGCAGAGGCCAGGCCAGGCCAAGAGCCTTCCCTCAGGTCCCATCACCTCGAGGTGGCTGTGGGAGCAGAGCCAGCCCAGCCTGCCTGAGCCCTCCTCAGACTGCTGTCTGTGGAGCAGCTGGGTGGCTAAGGCCACCCTGGGCTCTTAGACCCTACTGCTTGGCTGCCGGCGTGGCCAGGGGCTCCCGGCGCGGCCAGGGGCTCCCGGCGTGGCTTCCTCAGCGCTGAAGAGTCACTGAGCCGGCTCCCACATGGCATCCACAGCTGGGCCACCTCAAGC